TCAAGGAACACCATCCCTGCCCCCCCAAATCGCTCTTGCCAGACCCCGAGCCACAAACCAGGCAGGCTCAAAGCTCGCCATAGACTAGCTCACCCACCAAAGTATGGAACTCTAAGAGTGGAGGTCTCAGCATAACGACTCTCTAGAATGAGAAGAGACCTGGCTACACTCAACGCCAGAGGCTCAAGAGCCTACACATTAATACTGCCCAAGCAGAGCTATGCAGAGTGGAGGCTTCAGCAGCGCCGGATGTACTGTATTACCATAGACCAGCCGTTAACGATCTGCGTGACTTCGCCGATGTGGATTATTTTTTTTCTGCGACTAAGCAACTAATACAATTTTGGTCGACCAAGCCTCTTCTGGTCGACTAACGATTAGTCGACTATTAGGGGGCAGCCCTAGTTTTTTGTTTGTTGTTGTCTCATACTTTTAGATACGCTGTTATTTGTAAATGCTACTACTTATGTTAGCAGGGCGACGCGAGGAACATGATTAAGATCCGCTGCTTTAGAAAATTGATTTTGAAATTTGTGAATCCATTATTGTTAGAAAACAGAATCGCGATTCATATATGAATAGATTTTTTTGTGCACCCCTAGTTTTGACGGCATGGCAACATCTCTTCCTCTTCTCTAAAGCAGTGCAATGTTCCCGGGGGCGGAGTTTATCTAAATTTCTGGATTTGTTATCCTCTGTATTATTGTTTAATGTTATCTTCACATATTGGATGTTTATTGTAAAGTGTCCTTGAGCTCTGGAAAGGCGCTATATAAATAAAATGTATTATTATTAACTGATAAGAAAAACTAAGAAGAAAGTTATTTCAATGAAAAAACATCATATGTGAAATGTCATGCAGGGAATTCTGGCAATGTCAAGTTACGTTTTTTTCACTGTAAATTATACAATAATTTTAACAGTATTTTACTGTAACCTGAAAACAAACAGTGTGAGAGTGTGACAGTCACCCAGATTACTGTATTGTGTTTGTAGTCTGAATTATTATTTTAAATCATCTACTGTATATTAAGCTTTGACAGACATTCAGCATAACCTCATCTCATATTTATCTGTAATGCATTAGAAATAACTTTGTATCGTTAACAATTGTATTACATGGTTCTGTATTTGTGAGGGTCTTTCCAATTTGTTTTGAGATTTAGAATTCAAAATTGGCCCAGATTTCCATTTCGCCCAGGATGCTTTATGTATCCTAGCATGACCCTTACCTGCAGAGACATCACACACAGGAGACAAGCAGAGCGAATGACTGAGTCTGAGAGACCTCATCTGTTGATTTACTCTCACACTGGATCAATGGGGTCAGAGAGCTCTGACCTCTGACCTCTCCAGCTGCTGCCGTTCATTTGCAAAACTGAGAGTTATTTATAATCTCACAGAGAGCTTTGCACAATTCATTGTTAGTTTTTTTGTTTTGGTAATGATATTTTAATGGATGTGAAGGTCCAAAGTAATTGCAATAATATTGTGCTCAATGAACAGATTTATTCCAACATGAGTCGCAAAAATTATAAAATGCTACTACATAATTTGTGTCCTTATTTTTTTGCTTTAAAACACAATTTTATTACACATTAGCTTTGCTTATAGAAGTATGTTAAAACATGTTTCTTCTTTACGCTAGAAGATACAGTATGTAAACGAAGGTTATATTTGGCCTCTGCGATGCTGTGCAGGAATGACTGTGTATTATATATTTTAACACACCTGGAATGCTGTATTGACCAATCAGAATGCTATATGTTTCGCAATAGACTCTCATCTAAGGTCGGGAATCCCATCTGCTCACAGAAATAATCAAAACGTCATCGGCTATCAGTGTTTTGAGCAATAAAATGTTCTCTAATCTGTATACACTTGGCGATGCAAACGAGATCAAAATGTAAATGAACAATCAAAATGGCTGTGAAAATGAAAATGCTCGTTTGATGGCAGTGTTTTGGTTTGTGCCGTCATCAAAGCGCTCTTTGAATGCGAGTGCAGACTTTGATCTGTTATCTGGAGCGAGCGCACATGCTAATGTGAGAGTGTCATTGTCTGTGAGGAATGGCTGACGTCATGGTTACAGTGATGGGCTTCAGGGGCTTCTGCTGCTGCTGAGGTCAAAGGTCACGCTGTGAAGCTGCTTTAAAGGACAGCCATCCGGCCATGAGTAACCTGCACTCTGTGCTGTGCTCGGCTGATGAGACGTCATGGCTGATCACCAGCAGATGTTGTGTTTTGGATGCTGGTGTTCCCAGCAGGATTTTCCACTAGATTGGGGTCTATAGGTCCTACTTAATGAATTTGCTCAAAAATTTATGTTTAAAGGCAAGAAAATACAGGTTAAAACATTGTTTTTCCTCCATTTCAGCAACACTTTCATACACCAAATTGTACAGTTTTATTTCTATCTATATTCTGAAGGCTTTTACCGAGGGGTTTGTTCATATATCATTCATCTGATTATATATATAACATTTTATTTATTCCTAAAAACATGGTGGATTTTTTTTCTGATTCGTGGGGTGATAAAAAGAGAAATCCAAAATCCCCTGTGTAAAAACCTTTAATTTGTTATGAAAGAGTTATGAACCTGGCTTTATCAAATGTTCAGATTTCTGCAATGCATGCAAATTAATGCATATTTAATTAGATAATACCTTTATTTGCCATACATAATGTAAACAATCACCCAGAGAGTTATGATGATATTCATTTCTGTCATGAAAACTCCCGATGAAACATGGTATTCAAGCACAGAAGTGTGAGTCTGCAAGCCTGAAATCCAATAAAAGTTGCCTTTGCTTTGTTTTTCAGGTGAAAAATGTGTTTCCTCAGGAGGGTTTTGGCCGTCAAAAGAGGGGCTACAGAGAAATCAGTAACATTGACGTCAACATGAGTGACCCGCTTTTCACCAAGCAGTGGTATCTTGTAAGTAATTACAGCTCGTAATGTCTTCATTTGATTTGACCTTCAGCATTGGAAGCGATTGCATTGGATTAGCCGGGATCGCTGATACTCCTCATTTAAACCATTTTCCTCATTAGCCATCACCGTCAACACTGGTGCGTGAGCCAGCATCAAAACACGCTGATATCTTCCTTATTTCTCCAGGGCTTATCGTGACAGGCATCCCTGTCTGTTTTGCCAGGGAGAACGATCTTTAATTTAGTTTGTCAGCTATAAACACCGCACAGCAGGGTTTCCGCGAACTGTAATATCTGCGTGACATTTATTTTCCCTCCTGCGCCACCTCCCTCATAACATCTCATTTTCTACACAGTGGATGCTCAGCTCGTGTGACGCTTTGGTGTTGTTTGATTAGATAAATACAGGCCAAGCGGATGGGACCCCAGGGCTGGATCTCAATGTGGCAGAAGCCTGGAACATGGGCTTCACCGGCAAAGGTGTGACCATCGCCATCATGGACGATGGTGCGTGAAATCTGGCTGCCAGAGAGCAGTTATTAACACTTAAAGGCTTGATAATGTGCAATAATGTAAACATTAAACGTCCAGTAATGTGTCCTTTTGCCATCACCTTGCAGGTATTGATTACCTACATCCAGATCTCGCCTCTAATTACGTAAGTGCTTTTTTTCTCCCTCATTTGATCCACATGTTTAATATGATTTGAAGTAACCTTGTTGGATGGATGGAGAGATATCCAGTGCTAGAGCAGGAAGGTATAATGTCAATGCAGTGAAGTACTTTTCAATTAATCTGTGAATTATCCAAAAATAGGAATTACCACGTGGTTATTTAATAGATAAACCATTTTATTGAATGTTCAGCAAAAATATCTGATATTAATTGAATTGGAAGTTCATTGGGAGTGTAGAAACATGGTGGCATGTCTGATTAGAAAATGGGACAAACACCAGTCCTTTGCTCTCTTTGATGAACATTTCACACGACAGGATGGTCTTAAGTCATTAATGCATCCTTTGGAAAGGATTCAATGGTTGGGTGTGCATTCAATTAAATTTAAAAAAAGGAAGGAAGTGAGGTCCACTTATAGAGCTTGACTGAATGAGTGTGGGTAATGTAGTGCACTAGATTACAGCAAGTGTAGTTTAGTTTAGTTTTATTGATTTATGTAGCACATTTAATAACGACAGGGTCGACCAAAGTGGTGTACAAAAAAATAAATAAATACATAAAACAACTAAGCATATAAAACAAATCACAAATTTATGACAAAGATAATATCGCACATAATCAAATATTAGACAGCACTTACTCCAGACCATAAGCCAATTTAAAAAGATAAGTCTTAAGTGATGATTTAAAAACCTGAAAAGAGGAGGCTGATCTTACATACAATGGCAAATTATTCCACAGCTTAGATGCTGCCACCGAAAAAGCACGATCCCCTTGAGTTTCAAGCGCGTCATAGGTACTGACAACAATAAAGAATTTGATGACCTTAAAGGCCTGTTAGTCACATGGAACGAGAGGAGATCCGACTGGTAAGATGGTGCCAAACCTGCCACGGATTTATACACAAACAGTAGTACCTTAAACTGAATTCTAAACTCGAGTGATACTTTCTCTCTTTTTGGTCCCTTTTAAAAATCTGGCCGCAGCATTTTGGACCATCTGGAGACGAGATAAACAAGACTGAGTAATTCCTAGATACAATGAATTACAATAATCCAGTCTTGTTGAAATTAATGCATGAATAACAGTCTCCAGATCATTAAAATAAAGAAAAGATTTTATTTTAGCAATCATCCTAAGCTGAAAAAATGCTGATTTCACAACTGAACTTATCTGTTTATCAAATTTGAGTGCCGGATCAAAAATAACACCCAAATTCCGAGCACAAGTGCCTACAGTTTTAGTTATAGGACGCAGAGTTTTAGATAGGATGGAAGCACATTCAGGCCGTCCAAAGACCAACTCTTCAGTCTTAGAATCATTTAGCTGTAAAAAAATGTCCACCATCCAAGTTTTAACTTCGCTCATACAATCAATCAAAGACTGGAGAGATATATTGCCATCTGGTTTCATTGGAAGATAAAGCTATATATCATCTGCATAAAGATGGTATGAGATCTGATACTTACAAAAAATCATAGCTAAAGAAAGAAGATAAAGGGAGAACAAAACAGGGCCTAAAACGGAACCCTGTGGTACCGCCCCCCCAAGTGTAGTTTGCTTGGCATTGTGGAAGATACAGTGCAAAGGAAAAATAAGGGAGGGGGAAGTACTGGTTTCACAACAATAACTTTATTATCATATATACAGTTAACATAATATTCAATGACTCATATGGGTCTTGAGTTGTCCTCTCACACGTCTAGACCTTGGCTAGTGGCAGATTTCCCAACTGGCTGTTTAAGTTTAATGTTGAGCACTAAGCAAGAGCAAAAGAAAGCATCATTTTGCGAATCACAACCTAATTAATGTTTAATGTTCATGTGGCTTATGAAGCAGTACAGCATGTAGTGGACTAAATCCAGGATATGGCAATGATCCCCGTTCAAATGGGTCGCAAAGACAGGCTTTCTTTTGCTCAAACAGATGACGCATTTGCATGCTGTGTGCGATTAAATATGCAGCTAATGGTGGAGTTATCTTCTCCTCTGAGATGGGAGTTTGTGGCACCTCTGCAATTAAGAGATGCTGCCACACATCAAACCATACATATAGCAAATTTATTTCCCTCTTTACTTCACCCTGTGTCTCTGAAAACATGCTTCTGTCAGTCAGCCATTATTTTTTATTGATGTGGACATGCTAAAATACTCTTACAGCATTTCCTGCACTTATATTGAGGGCAGTGTCATGGCAAAAGCAGTAATGTTTTAGTTATGATGTTTAGAGTTGTGAGCTTGTTAGTCTGAATTGAATGAGATGAGAAAGAGTGATTCTGTGCCAGAAAGTCTATGAATAGTTAATGCATGTTTCTTTTGTGTTGTCCTCAATGGTTGTACGCAACAACAAACATACGGCACGACCAGTGTAGTCCAATTCATGAACCACTGACTATTATGAAGTAGCTCTTTTTAATGAATCTTAAAAATAACTAAAAATGTATGCACAAGTTATCAGTTAATACATACCCAAAAGTTCAGTCATAATTTACTTTCCCCCATATCATCCCAAGCCAATAAAACTTTTAAGTTTGAAACACAAATGAAGGTATTTTTAATGAAATATAACATATTTTTGTTCTTCCATTGAAAGTCCATGCAATCATGCTTTGATCCTTCAAAAAGTTAATAAAGAGATCTGAAAAAAGTAATCTGTATGAATCAAGCGGTTTAATCTAAGCCTTCTGAAGAGACGTGTGTTGACAGATTGGGTTGGTGATTTCCAGCCCCAAAGCTCTCCAAAACCTGGTCAAAAAATTCACAACCAACAGCATTTGATAGAAATCTAATGCCATGTGAACAAAGGTTGACACTGACAAAATAAAGTCATAAAAATGAATCAATTTTCCAGACAGAAAAACAATACCACATTTAAACAGATGAAACATATTAAATACAGTAGAAGAAAATGAGCAATTATATAAAAACATTTTACCCATATGGGTAGAAACTATTAAAGTATGTCAGAATTTGCAAACAGTAGTCAAGAAATTAAAAGACCTTAAAGGTTGGGTAGGCAGTTTTTCCCAGAAACATTTTTTGTTTGACTGGTTGAAAGCCTCTTAATATTCTAATAGCAATCGATAATTAAAGTAGTCTAAATATTAAACTATATAAATATATCTTCTGTGGAAGTCTCAGGATCATAAAATGTTCGTTCAATCTTTGCATTTGGTCTGAATGCAGTGATAGGATGTCTTACCTGCCTGTCAAAATATGTATTTGCATACCTCCGCACAGCCAATAGTGAGAGTTTGGGGGTGTGGCTACTGTAGCAGGCGAAGCCAGAGGACGTTTACTGGGTGTGGAATTCAAATTCAAAGACTTGACAAAATACACAGATGCAGATACCTCAAACAGAACAATCCATGGTTTGATGCACTCTCCCACTCTTTACTGTAGCTACAACTTATATTTATGCTACTTTGGCGTAGCAATCACTGGAATATATAACTACAAGTTCAAAATCTGATCCCTTATTGTGCTAAAAAATGTCACTCATAAAGTATCACGTCTGTCTTTTATTGCTCTTGATTGGCTAAAAGTGCGGCTCGTCAACACCAGCTGCTGTGTGTGTTTAATAACAACATGATGGCTGACTGGATGACTAGATGGAGTACAGTACATGCAACTTTGCCAAACTGCTCCCAAACTAGGGAGAGTGTTTGAGAGTGTTTTTGCAGTTCTGTTTATGTAACAATAAACGTGTTGTTTCTGTGTAGATTTCTTCTTTAGTACATACAGTATTTACAGAGGAGGGCCTTCCAAATGACTGAAAGAAATCACGATGGAATTGAAATAAGAGTCGGAAGCAGAATTCCATCCTTGCAGAATATTTCACAAATTAAACGCACTAGATATCTGCCAGTGAAATAGAGCCATTATTGTTTTGAGACCCGCTGAGCTCTGTGAACCGCGAGAGCACCACAGATGAGTTTTAACCCAAAAATAACCTGGCTTCGGCTGCGGTGGGGGTTGATGCTGACGTCTCCAGCGGGGCCCAGATGAGGCAGTAACTCAGCATGTCCTCCCCTGCTACTGTTTTATTTAGCACCAATTCCACCCAGACTTTCCTCGCCAGAACCGCTGTTTTTGTAGCAGAATTATACTCGCCGAAAGACGGCATGTAAATGTTTGTTTTTAGTGTTTGCGTGTGGCTGAAGTGTGTGGGGTTAAAAATAGATTCAGGATAATTTCCCTAATAAGGACTAATGTGGGATGAGGAGTGAATTAGCATAATCGTTTGAAGGATTTTTTGACAGGGGACTGGATTTAATTCATCGCTTGATGTGGCCTAGCAGAACATAGTTAGAATTAAATTCAATATAAGGGGACTAAAACATTTTTTATTTGAGTTTTTGTCTTATTTTTATATAATATGTAAGGATATTCTGGACTATTTTCAAAAGGAATTGCAATTTGTATTTTCAATTGTGTTTTCCATATGTGGGCGCATAAATTGTGACATAATCCAAACACAATTGCAAATCTTGTGGACTGGTTTTGCAGCAGTGGATCTCATTTTGAGGGTCCAGCATTCATGATCGATATCGTCTCTAGACCGGCAGTATGAAATCCTCCCCCGAGCCATTCCGTCCTCCCAGTTACCTGCTCCAAACTCGTCATTAAGCCAGGCCTCGGGAGCGAAAGGCCTTCCTTTTGTCTCCCACTGAGTCATCGTGGTAAATGCCAGACTGCATCCTCATCAGCCTGGAGCCCTGACTACCAGACTCAGCCATCTTTTTAACTCTGGCCTAAGGAAGGCCACGCTCGGGGCTCTCCGGGTAATGAATGCTCCAGATAATAAAAGAGCATATGGTGGCCCGGACCGTGCTGAGAAAAGCTGTTAAAGGGTTAGTTCACCCAAAAATGAAAATTCTGTCATTAATTACTCAGCCTCATGTCGTTTCAAACCTGTAAGACCTTAGTTCATCTTCGGAACACAAATGTTTTTGATGGAATCTGAGAGCTGTCTGACCCTTCATAGACAGCAACTGAAATGTTCCCAAGTCCATAAACGTAGCAAGGAGATCTGCATACGCGGTTTACGTCCAGCTGATACTCTCCAAAATGGCGCTACAGGGTGATGCGAAGGAGACGAATTGTTGAATAAAGTCTTTTTTTCTTTCTTTTGCGCACCAAAAATATTCTCGTAGCTTCGTATAATTGCGGTTGAACCACTGATGTCACATGGATTATTTTACAGATCTCCTTGCTACGTTTATGGACCTGGGAACATTTCAGTTAGTATTGCTGTCTATGCAGGGTCTGAGAGCTCTCAGATTCCATCAAAAATATCTTAATTTGTGTTCCGAAGATGAAAGAAGGTCTTACGGGTTTGAAACGACATGAGGCTGAGTAATTAATGACAGAATTGTCATTTTTGGGCGAACTATCCCTTTAAGACCAGAGCGACGGAGCGAGCGACTGCTGATGAGTGAGAGCGGGGAAGGTTCTCCAGAGGTTTCTGAAGATGATTTCACTGGCTGAGTTTATGAGAGATGTTTACGGCTCCTGCATCTTTCCTCAGTTTAGGGCTGGGTTGTATATTCTGTGTGACAGTAGATAGAGAGATTTCACCTCTTTTATACGGTGCTAGATATATCTGAACGGCCATCCGGACACAAATTCACACACAAATGTGATGAAGAAACAGAGAAATGCAAAGTATTTTTTGCACTGATGCCATACTTACAGGCTATATATGCTGTTCAAAAATGCTGTATAAAATTTTGGGATCAGTAAGATAAAAACCTCGAAAAAAACTTGAAATTTAAAAATAACGCAATGTATATACTTTAAAATATAATTGATTTCTTTGATGCAAAGCTGAATTTTCATCTTTATTACTCCAGTCTTCAGTGTCACATGATCCTTCAGGAATCATTCTGATTGCTGATTTATTAACAATGTTGGAAACAGTTGTGCTGCTTCATATTTATAATAATCAATGATTAATTGACTTTAACAGTAAATTGAGTGTTTACTATTGTCCTTTTGCATTATTACACACTATTCTTCCTATTTAGCACTGTAAAGCTGCTTTGACGCAATCTGTATTGTTAAAAGTGCTATATAAATAAAGGTGACTTGACTTGATACTTTTTTCAGGATTCTTTGATGAATAGAAAGTAAAATATTTTGTAACAATATATACTACTGTTCTAAAGTTTGGGGTTAGTAATTTTTTCTTTTCTTTTTGGAAACAAATTAATACTTTTAAATTGATAAAAAGTGATAGTAGAGATTCATATATATATATATATATATATATATATACTGTATATATGAACAATGTGATCTTGCAATTTACTTAAAATAGGATTCAACATTTTTAATTTACTGGATTACATACAAATAAGCCTTAACATTTGTTGACTGAATTTGCATGCATTTCCTTATATACACCATTACTGTGACACAATGACTCATACAGTGGTATTAGATTTTGTCATCATCTTTTTTGTGTATCTCATCTCTCTGCCAGACCAGAATAAAGTTCCTCACATAATTTAGGTTTCAGTGTCGTGTTTCCCGCCGTGCTCAAATATATTACCTCTGAGAGCGGCTGGATGGTTAATTAAGGAATAGCTAGACGAATGCTTAATGAGGGGCAACGGAAACACACAGGGGTGTGAGCACAATGGCAATTCCAGAGTTGGTTTCAAAATAATGAATGACTAATTATTGAAATAGGCTCATTGTTTGTTTTGACATAATTGGCACTAATTCGTAAGTCTGCGACGCGTGATGACGGATGCTGTATTTCTTGTTGATGTTTCAGAACGCAGAAGCCAGCTTTGACTTCAGCAGCAACGACCCGTACCCGTACCCGCGCTACACAGACGACTGGTTCAACAGGTGAGGAGCTCAGCTCTGGAGCTGGCCAGTGTGACTGCTTTCAGATGTGCTGCATGTGTTTGACTGCATACCAGTGGCCACAACTTTGTGATCTTCATGTGACAGTAGCAAGAAACATGTAGTCATGTAAAAAATATGGAGTGGGCACAATGCAAAGTTTATGCAATGGTTTGCATATTTACTATTTTACAGCTTTGAATGTGACCCATCCATTTGGAATTTAGAATCCATACCTTTTTTTGTCTCTTTTTAAATTTGTGTCACATATTGTGAAGCTTTTTTTTAATGCTTTCAACTTCCAAATTAAAAATATGAACTAATCAACACAAAATTAACTTTAAGATAATACTCCCTTTCTCTCTCTCTCTCTACATGACTTTCTATATTCATTATATTCACTATATCATTATTTATTATTTATTTTACACTAGCATTGAATTTAGGGTTAGTAAGATTTTTAAATGTGTTTGAAAGAAGTCTCTTGCCAGTCTCTGCTCAATAAGGGTGTGTTCACACTTGGCATCTTTTTTGACAAGAAAAAGTTGACAAGAGCGCTTTTTTAGTAAAATAAAAAGCTGGAAGTGTTTTGGTTACAAATAGCAGCCGAGGGCGTCTGTTGTTGCTATAACAACAGCTGCAACAGTAGCCTAGTGTGTGCTGCAGAAGTGTCGAGAAAGAGTAAAAAGTTGGCTCTTGCGTTGGCTTTTGAAGTTAACGGGGTGGAGAATGTCAGTTCACAATTAAAATTGTGGGTGCGCGACATTATATGGGGAAGGAAACAGTATGGTGCTTACAACAATTTAGTCAATTTATTATTAATATAATAACAAATATATTTTAGGCTAGATAGAATTTGTGCTCATATCATACAAGTCCTTGTGCTCCAAAACAAGTACGATCTATCTATCTTCTCCATTTTTTCTTGATGTTTTTGTTGTTATGGAAACGACTCGCTACTCGCTTGTCATTGGTCAGCTGTCAAAAAAGCTCTTGATGTAAGTTTTTTTTTTTTTTTTTAGAAAAGTTGACGTTCTGAGCTGCAGATGCCAGCTGTGGCGTTTAAAAAAAGCGCTCAGGACTTTTTTGAAAACACGATTTACTCCATATGATTATAATGTAAAACAGACGCTGGCAGCTTCAAAAAAGATGTCAAGTGTGAACATAGCCTAAGGCTGTTTTCATCAGATCAAGAATACAGTAAAAACAGTAATATTGTGAAAAAAAATATTACAATTTAAAATGACTGTTTTCTATGTGAATATCTGTTAAACTGTAATTTATTTCTGTGATCAAAGCTGTATTTTCAGCATCATTACTCCAGTCTTCAGTGTCACATGATCTTCAGAAATCATTCTAATATGCTGCTTTGCTGCTCAAGAAACATTTCTGATTATTATCAATGTTGAAAACAGTTGTGCTGGCCAATATGTTGTGGAAACCTTGATCAATTTTATTTTTCAGGATTCACAGATCACAGAAAGTTCAAAAGAACAGCATTTATTTGAAATAGAAATGTTTGGTAAGATTTTAAATGTCTTTAGTTACTTTTGATCAATATCATTTTTGTACTTTTAATACTATATATTTTAAAGTATAAAAAGAGAGAGAATCTTACTGACCCCAAACTTTTGAACACTAGCGTACACTACATGTCTTATAAGATTAGTCAGAGTGTGCTGAAGGATTTAGCCGGCAGTGGGCTGGCAGAGCATTGACCTGCAACTGTGTTTCTCAGCAGTGGTTGGATGAAGGACTCCTTGCCTCTCTGTATTGATTTTCCTTACACGTAGCCCCATTAAGTCATCTCTGACTGGCTCTCAGCCCAGCTGCATTAACACAGCGTGCCGAGTCTTTCCTTCTGCAGCCTTATCAGAGCAGCCTGACCAAAACCCTTCGCCCAGAGGTGAAGATTAAGAGCAAAACTGTGCCATCATTTCATGTCGCGTTTCTAAACCAGAGCCACTGCTAACTCTGATGAAGCACTCCGTAATCAGGAGATTCTGATTCACAATAAACGTTAATTAATGCTCTGTGTGATGCAAATAGTTTTAATAGTTAAATCAATGCTTTCCTCCACTCTCTCTGAATAAATCCTTTGATCGTCCGCTCTGCCGCGCATGCTGAAACTGAACAAATCAGAGATGTTTATGTGAGTGAGGGAGTGTGGACAAGAAAGAAACAAAAATCTCACCATAAAATATGGCCCAGTTGAACATACTCTGACCCTCGCTGCTCAAGAGTGCGATGTATTCTCTTTAAATGTCTTAGCCAAGCTGGATGTGTTATTACTCCGGTAGCTAGCCATAAACATGTAGACAGTTTAAAGAAATAGTTCACCCTAAAATGAAATTCAGCTGAAAATGTGCTCATCCTCAGGTCATCCAAGATTAGGATGAGTTTGTTTCTTCATCAGATTTGTAGAAATGTAGCATTGCATCAGTGTCTCAGCAATGGATGCTCTGCAGTGAATGGGTGCCATCAGAATAAGAGTCCAAACATCTGATAAAAACATCACAATAATCCACAAGTAATCCACTCCACTCCAGTCCATCAGTTAACATCTGGAGAAGACAAAAGCTGAAATCCAGCATTAAGATTAAAAACATTATTGTGTTGTTATTATCAGCTGTTTGGACTCTCATTCTGACCAGTGGTGTATAAAGTACCTGAAAGCCATACTCAAGTAAAAGTACAGATATCTTACCAGAAAATGACTTTGGTAGAAGTTGAAGTCACCGTTTAGAATATTACTTGAGTAAAAGTCTTAAAGTATGTGATATTTATTGTACTTAAGTACGAAAAGTATTTTTTTAATCTTAAACGTACTTAAGTATTGAAAGTAAAAGTACAAGTAAATGCAAAATGGAAAAGAAGCAAATAAATATATATAAAAAAATGTTCATACAAAGCTTGAGTAGCAAGATTGTGTTCAGTTTTTAAAACGTTGAATACTGATATTTGAAATAATTTAAAACATGAAAAAGATAGTCGAAATGTGAAATTAAAACCTCCAGTAGGTGACAGCAAGTGACTGTTAATGAGTGAGTCATTGAGAT